TCTTAACCTACCAAAGGGAGCACGCTCTACTTAGAATATATATATATATATAGATATCCTTAAAACTCTCTCTCTCTTAAAAGGCCCAAGGGGGCACACCCTACTCTCTCTCACCTCATGTTTTATCTCATGGTGTCTCTCACGATCTCTCATCTCTCTTTGGGATTTTAGACTATAGAGTTGTGGCAAAAAAGATAAACATCTCTCTATCAAACTAGGTTGCTAAGGGGATTCATCTAGGGCTTGAGTTTTGTGATCAAAGGGGTTCATGTTCCATTGACGTAGCTTGTCCAAACTTGCTTTCCCGGTTGAGATTCAAAGTTGACTATTAGATCTTATGCCATCAGAAGGTGGTAACTTGGTGTGGGTGCAAGAAGCCTGGTGGAGGTAATATTCGGCACCCTCTTTTATTCCTTACATATTATATTTATTGTGTCTTTTATTTCCAAGCATAGATTGTGTCTTTTCTTTGTTATTGAAAAAAAGGTTTTGATTGGCTTCAAGTTCTTGAGATCCTATTGTATTATTAATTTTTTTTATTTGAAGTTATTATATTGTAAAATGATTATTTGCGACTGATATAAGCCGAGAAGAAAAAGAAAAGTATAGAAAAAAAAAGAAAATTAAAAGAACATATACTCCAGCTACATCACACGAGTCCTTCTTTCATAAAATGCATATAATCCTCAAATCAATATCAAAGGGAAGTGCAACTGCAATTCACTTGAAAACTAGCACATAATCCTAAGATTTCGCAACCTATGTAAAATACTAAAGAGTTAGAATGTAGAGAGAAGATGATTCCAAAACATAATTGTAAATTTCCAAAAAAAAACAAACACTATATAAAATCTAAATTCAAAGAGCTTGGTTACATTGGATCATCAAAAGTTCTTTACAAAAGATACAAAGAAGGACTAATCAAATTACTAAATGATGATAACATGGAACGCCCAATGTACCTTGGCTTGGCATGGAAAGGTTCACTCATGTAAGTCACGAGTACAGACATGTTTTCTACCTACAAACAGCAAGTCTACATTAGCAGGCAGCAAATCAGGTGGCATAGGCGTCAAATATGCACATGGTTAAGGTTTCTCGGTCATTGCATTAGCGGGATCTTGACTGGTAATGACATTCAGTCAATGTATCAGGTTTTGAAAAACAAAAACTCCTGGTCCTACATACTGTTATTTTTGCTGCAGGCACCCACGATTATACATTAATTGTCTCATTCATACAAAAATCTAAAGAGAAGTTGGGATCGCTTGATTTAGGTATATTTCTAGTGCCTAATGAGAGGGACCGAAGATGGTGAGTTGAGAGAGAGAGAGATCAATATTGCATATGAATATTAGAAAGCAGCATTTTAAAATCTGGCGATTCAATTGTTCAAGCTTAGAAATTTAAGAGACAATCTCACTGTAGTTGATGATATGGTTGAACAACTTGCATCTTAAACAAGGGTCATGAAGCACCTGATGTGGTTTTGCAAATTGAGGTCATCTCACATGTAGGAGCAAATTTCTCCTCAAAACACTATATAGCATATCCCAAAGAATGCCCAAGAGTCACAAACTATATGTTCCTTTCCAATGATCCATGTAATTCAAGTCAAACCCATATAGAAAACCACTTTTCTAATTTTAGAAGTTTGTGATTCGGATATTGGCTCAATGCTCAAGGCATCAAGTTGTGGCGTTTTGGATTTGGATCCCTCCTAAGCTAACCTAAAGGAAAAGAAGTGGAATCATTTCACTATTCACAATCAAATTCTAATCCACTTTCCTCCAAATGACTCAGATGCACAATAGACCTGGGCAATGCAGTAGGACTCGTGGCCAGTAACTTGGCTAAGTCCCGAGTGAAAGTGGCCGAGTATTTACACCCCAAAAAAAGTTCAAGTAGAAAAAGAAAAGATTAAAGAATCAGTTCAATAAACAGATTGTAATGCTTGAAGATACGGAAGTATACCTACAAATGAGGTGTCCATGACTCTGTATCGTCCAAAAACTTGTGCATAATGTTCACGCACTCGTAATCCTCGGTTTTTAATCTTGGGAATTGTCCTTTTGCAATGCTGTAGTCCTACATTTCAATTGAAAAAAATTATTCCATCAACGAAATAAATGATCGTATAATTACCAAGCAAAAAAGGATTAAAAAAATATTCCTATTAATGAAAAAAAATATTATATCATCACTAGCTCTAGGGAATTCACCTTTTGTAATGCTATAGCCCTACATTTCGATTAAGAAGCAGTCTTTTCATAACTGAAATAAAAGATCATATAGTCACCAAACAAACAAGGATTGAGAACATTCTTCCCATTTATAACTGAAATAAAAGATCATATAGTCACCAACAAACAAACAAGGATTGAGAACATTCTTCCCATTCATAACTGAAATAAAAGATCATATATTCACCAAACAAACAAGGATGGAGAACATTCTTCCCATTCATAACTGAAATAAAAGATCATATAGTCACCAAACAAACAAGGATTGAGAACATTCTTCCCATCAATGAGATGAAAGATACATCATCACTCAGACATGTTGAGAATACCTCTTGACAAAGATTGCAAGCGAGTGGAGACGATTTTATTTTAGTACAAACTATGCAAATCTGGCACAGTTCAAGTTGACTAGTAAACCAACTGGTTTTGCAGGAAACGGACTACCTTTAAATATAGCCTAACAAAAACAAATAAGGACATTATTTTTATTGTGTGGAAAAAAAGAGAATACCAAGTCAAGGAGTGATGCTTACCAATGCATTCACAAAAGTTTGTCGAGCCCTCTCGATGCCTTTTAGCATTTTCCATTTGTGTCTTGAATTGAATTGGGTCCTTCTCTGATAGGGGTCTACCATGAGCCTAAAGATGTATATCTATCTTAGACAACTTTGATTTGTACTCTATTTTCGGATATTACCATTCAACATGAAATTTATGCTTAGAATCACAAGCTTCAATGCCTTTTTGCTGGATTTGATTCCCAAAATTTCATTTCCATAGCTAAACAATTTAGGGAAGTAGCATTAAAGACTTAGATCAGTGGGGCGGAACCTTTACTTATAGGTATGTGTCAAATTGTTGGATCGACGATTTTGATCAGAATAAACCAGTGTTTTAAAATACGTCGAGTCGAACCGGACTCGCCCGGTTCTACTCGGAAATCTCAAAAAGTGGATCGTATCGGCTAAAAAATCGGAAATCGTCCGGTTCTAGAGAGAACCGAACGATTCTGTACAGTGACTCGCCAATTCACTCTACGAAATCGGCGAGTCCGAACAGTGAATTGGCGAGTCCCGTAAGGAA